CCCTAGGAGAAACATGAAAAATTGGTTCCTTTGGAAATAGAATAAAGTGTGGAACTTTATTATCAAGAGAAGAAGATGACATTCTATTAATGAGAAAGCATGTAGTTAGAATAACATCTCCCCAATGATGAATAGGCATATTGGTACCAAGCAATAAGGTACGAGCAGTTTCAACCAAATGTCTATTTTTTCGTTCTGCTATACTATTTTGCTGTGGTGTGTGAGGACACGTGGACTGGTGTAAAATGCCTTGAGAATTTAAGACATTAGAAAAATCATTAGAAAAGTACTCTTTGGCATTATCACTTTGTAAAACTTTGATTACTTTTCCAAATTGAGTTTTGATTTTGTTAAGGTTCCAACATAAAACCAATTGACAATATGTGGAGTAGCCTAACATGTATTTAAACCATACCAAATGATATGAGGTAGGCGATGTGAGACTTTCAACACACCTCCTCCAACGAAGCCTGCCGGACCAGACAAAGGGTACTTTTGACCCAACTAAAGGGCAACTTTTGGCCCATGACAATAATCGGAAATATGTTAGGCTTTGGCTCTGATACCATGTTAAGGTTCCAACATAAAACCAATTGGCTATATGTGGAGTAGCCTAACATGTATTTAAACCATACCAAATGATATGAGGTAGGCGATGTGGGACTTTTAACAGATTTCATTAAGGAAAGACTTAAAGATAGACAATAGTTCAGAACGATCTTTCATAAGATAAACTCAAGTACATCTAGAAAACCCATCAATAAAAGTAACAAAATATCTAAAACCAAAAGATGAAACACGACTAGGTCCCCATATATCTGAATGAACAAGACTAAAAGTAGAATCACATCTAGATTCAGAATGATTTGGAAAGGATGACCTGGTATGTTTCCCTAGTTGACAGGATTTACATTCAAAAGTTTGAAGGTTCTGAAGTTCAAGAACCATTTTTTTCAATTTTGCTAAATGAGGATACCCTAATCGCTCATGTAACAGTTTTGGGGATAAGGATGCAACACAAGATACAAATGACTTAGTCCTAAGGTAGTATAAGCCTCCAGATTCATGTCCTTCTCCAATCAGTCGACCCGTACCACGTTCCTGGATAACAAAACAATTGGCATTAAAGGTTACTGAGCAATTCAATGATTTGGTTAATTGGCTTACAGAAACAAGACTGAATGGAAAAGAAGGAACACAAAGAACATTTTGAAGGTTTAAAGAAGAAGAGATGGATACTTGACCAATTCCTTTAGAGGCTACTTTAGATCCATTAGCTAAAGATATGAGATGGGAGGTTTTAGGAAATGAAAGAGAGGAGAATAAAGAGATATTACCAGACATGTGGTCAGAAGCACCTGAGTCAATAATCCACGGATTTTGACTTTCCATAGATTGTGAAATGCAAGCAGTTGACGAATTTGGTGTTGTAGATGTTTGAACCAAATTGGTTGATTTCATCCTTAAATATTCTTGATACTCTTCATGAGAGAACTTGGGCTCATCAGCTTCAGATTTTGAGGTATTAACTGCCTTATCAGGAAATTCGTGCAGAGCAAAGCAATTTTCCTTAGTATGTCCCATTCTTTTGCAATGCGAGCACTGAGGACGTCCTTTCCCACCACATCCTCTAGAGCTGTGATTACCTCTTCCACGAGCAGAAATCATGGCGGAAGAATCAGCAAGTTCCTGACTCACGAAGTAGCCTTGTGATTAAACTCTCCGTAAATGGAACTTCTTCTCTAGTTAGAATCTGGTCTCTAATATGATTAAACTCTAGATTCATAGCCCTAAGAATCATTACCATATAGAATTTATCCAGCTTCGTCTTTCTTTCCTCTAATGATTCTGCCTCCAGGAACATTTTTAATTCTTCAACTGCTGATTGAGCTTCAGCAACAAAGGACATCATGGAATTATCATCTTGCTTAAGGGAGGCTAGTCTATTAGCAGAATCATAAAGTCGTTGAATATCATTAGCAAAGATATTTTGGGCCTTTTTCCAAAAAGAATTACATGTCTTGAAGGATCGAAGAGTGCTCAAAATATTTGGTTCAACAGATTGTCATAATAGTGCACAAAGTTGATAATCCAGTTTCTTCCATTGAGGAGCCTGATCTGCTGGTTTAGTACTTCCATCTTCTTCTAGATGATCATGAACTCCTTGACCTAGAAACCAAAGCTCAACAGAGGAAGCCCAAGACAAATAATTTTTCCTATTTAATTTTTCTGTGTTTATAGTCGAAGTCCCAGAAAAAGATACAGACACAGGTCCTGACATTTTCCAAGAAACAAGAAAGGACAGCGTGCTGTCTATGGAAGCAGAGAAAAAAAAAACGCAGACCCACCACGTTTTGTGACAGAGAACACAAAACAAAGTGCAGATCTGACACCAGGGCGACGAGGCGAGCCGGATAGAGGTGGCTTGGAGCAAAACAGCCGTCGGGAGGGCGGCGCGTGAGGCTCACGCACGGAGGAAGCCACGGACGAGGGTGGCGTGTGGTGGCGCGTGAGGCAGAGACGGAGGAAGCGATCACTGGGGTTGGGTCGCGCTCCTCGAGGCAAGCCTAACCCAAGTGTCAGAGAGAGAAATGATGCCGGAGAAGTACTGCACCGGCGGCGAACGGCGGCAGACGGCGATTAATGCCAGAAAAAAACAGAGACAGGCAGAGCGGGATGAACCCGCTTTGATACCAACTTGAAATAGAAAAAGGAAAATAAAGAACTGATTTTGAGATCCTGAAATCATCTTCTTGTGTTCTCTTATTTATAGGAGATAAAAATACAGATTCAGAGATACAATTAATAGAGACATGATTAATCCTAAAGAAGATAAATAGATGCATTCTAGGAACTAGATCTACAACTAATCTCATAAATGCCCAAGAAGATACAATTAATCTAATAAATACTTCAACAGGTATGTACAAATAACTTGATGACAGAAAGTAGGTATTAAAGAGGGATGGGTAGGTTGTCTGAAGGTTCCTTGGGAAGTTAGAAGTAATACTATAATATATTTATCGGCATATCTATAAAAATATTCACAATGCTCTCACTACTTGATGACAATGTTATCATTATCGAATAACAAAAAATATTGGCAACCCAACAATATTTTCTGAAAATATATCGGATTTCATAATGGGTTTATGGTGGAAGTATCATGGACAATATATATATATATATATATATATATATATATATATATATATATATATATATATATATATATGCATATAATTAAAATGCATGAATATAATTAAAATACAAAAAAATCTCAAATTTAGAAGGAATAATATGTTTCATATATCGAATTAGGAGGTCATTGGACCTATATGTACATGAGTCTGATGGTTATTGTTGGAGATCATAACATACCAATCGGAATATGTTGGAGATCAGCACATATAAATTAGAATCATCCAATTCTGATTTGTCCAGCCCATAATAGGATTTAATGTTAATATGATCACTTTTATTTCTTTATTTAGGTACAATATTTATTGGAAGAATATTTCCCTGATTTTCAGGGATAGATTAGTGTATAGGTTTATTCCTTTGTATTTTATTTATTCCTCCTTTTGTATTTTTTCAAAATAAGAGATACAACATATTTTTCGCATGGTATCAGGATCAACTTTGATAGCAAAGTCTTTAAATAGCACGTGAAGACTCCAATCGCAGTGATTTCAATGGCGCGGTGATCGCCTAGTCGAGACAAGAAAAATAGTACAGTTGCCGGTCTGAACTGTAACTCCGGCGGCAGAGGTGGTGGAGGCACCAGTGGCAGGTGCAGGGCAGCGATGGTAGTGACGAAAAAAGAGAACCTAAACTTTAGATACCATATTAAATATAGTGAAAAACTAGTTATAGGATTAATTTTCGTTGTGTCTAAAATACACAAAGTAATATATTTATAATTAAAAATCATAAAATAAATATAATAAATTCATATTTTGTGACTAATAATATTTAAAATATCTAACAGTCATCACCAAATAGCCCATCTCCACTTTTACAATGGGGCAACTTAGTTACAATTATTTGTTGCCCATTTTTACTTGGTACCAACCTGTTGATATAAAGAACACATCCCATTAGTTACTTCCAAATCATATTCAATTTTAGGATTGGAATAATAGAATTTTGGATTCAAAAAGTGACCAACTGCATGCAATGTGGACAAACATTTTATGAAGGAAAAGCTAGACAATAACTTCATTTGCACCTCATGTGTGTCCACTCAAAGTCAACTTGCAGACATATGCACCAAATGGTTGAATTGAACTTTGAAAGAATTATATCATATGCACCAAATGGTTGAATTGAACTTTGAAAGAATTATATCCAAGCTGAAAATGAAGAACACTTACTCACCAACTTGAGGGGAGTGTCAAATCCGCGTGTTACTCATTGAAAGAATTATATCAAAGCTGGGAATGTATTAACTTTGAAAGAATTATATCCAATCATATTTTAGGAAGTTTTATATTTTATCATTACTGTTATTTTATTTGTATATTTTGAAACAATCCCATAATCACAGGGATTTGTCTCCTTAGAATTAGCTGTCCATATAGGATCATATATTTATAGGTCCAATGCCCTCATAATTGATACAATAAGGTAGAATCTTATTCCTTCTAAATATGAGATATACTATACTATAACACATTCCAACTGGGCCTGCCCTTTATAAGAAATGCATAAATACATATAATAGATGAGCATGATAGCTCATTTGCTACTACAATAACAACTTTCTGATTAGCCATATTACTGTATGAGATCTTTTGCTTTTGTTTTTCATGCTAAAATTTGTTGCATATCCATCTGGATTAATTTATTTATGGTTCATCTGTTTTGCATTATTTTTTTTTATTTTTATTTTTTCTTGGGGTTAGATTCTAATTGAGGTTGATCACCTACAAGATGTACCTGGCCCATATATTCAGATAAAGGGTGTTGATAAAGATGCAGTAGCAGCAGCTGGTTCAATGCTTAAATTGGATACTTCATATACGACTAAGGTATGAAATTTCTTGCTTTATTGTAGTTCATCTTTTGTCTCTGGTGCATGTTGCAGGTTCTGGATCAATTAAGTATGTCATGGATGTCTAGATGGTTTTTACTACTGTTCTTTTTTGTAACTTTGGTAGAGTTATCTTGAAATAATTTCGGAAAGACTACCGGCTATTGAAAGAACTTCCGGTGGAATTCATTATCAGCAATCAGCAAGGCTGCTAGAGATTGTTGAATTTATTCAATCTCAGGTAGCCTTTACTCGTTGAACAAATTTTCTTCTATTTATTTTTGCTTTCATCAAGTACTAGCCATTCAATTTAACTTGTTGAAATTTTAAGGATATTGGTTAAAGAGTATGGAAAGAAATTGCGAATAATATTCTATTGTAGTATTTTGATATGATGCAACATATAATTAATCTGTCAAGATAAACCTCCCTATAAGTTTTGGCTCATAGAACCATATTGGACATGTCAGTTCAAATAGGAACCCATCCTCTGTTCATTCGGTTGTAGTGCACAAAACCAGTATTAAACTGACCCCAAAATGCTGGTTTAACTGGTACAGAACCGGTTCAAGAAAAAAATTAATAAATCACAATTTTAACATTTCTCTCTTAAAAAGATAAAAATCAGCCTAAAGTATGTGTCATTTTTTTTATTCTACATATAAACTTGTTACTATTAATAAATATTGATGTGTATTATTGAAATTTCAATTGAAGTATGATACACATTTTATTTGAACTTTTGTATGATTTTAAATATTAAAAACAGTTTTATTTTAGTTTTTAGCATCATAAATTTTGACATTATATATATTTTAATATTATTTTGTGTATTTTAATAATTAAAATAATTTTATTAGTACTGGTTCGACCTTGAGAGAACCATTAATCTTAGGCAGTGTCTAGGTTAGTCTAATTTTAAAAACGTTGCTATAAGCATTTCGAGGATAAGAAAACATGAAAAAAGCATATGAAATAAGCTTTTTCAAAGTTAAAATATTGAATAAAGTCACTTTACTAAGAATTGCTTTTGGTGTAATTTGATCCTTCCTCATATAAGTATACAAAAACATATCAAATTAGGTCTTTATTTAATAAGGAATAAATATTGATTGTTAAATCTTATTAGAAATTGTCAAATTAAAATAATTGAGTTGTTTTAAAAAGTGATAATGTGATATTAGAAATCTTGATAGTTTGTGTATGATGTATAGTTAAGCGGATGCTTGATATTTTGATGATGAAGTATTTGCGCCGTATAATAGATTGAAACGCCTCTTCACTTGACCCTATTTAGCCTAATAGTTCCTAGGTATCCGTATCTACTACTTTCTATTCCACACATCCAAGTCATGCTAAAGCTATCGCCTTCACAGCAGCAGATAGTCGTTATTGAAGCATTCCAAACTACAGCATTATTAATATACTGAACATTTTTTGCATTTTTAAATCATGTAATATAATTTTTTTGGCATTATCATATAGCGGTATTATGTTGACACAAACAGGGATGTAGCTCTGCTTCAGAATCCTCGTCAAGTAGGGTAGTCTCTCCAATTGAAGGTATTGTTGAGGAGATGCAGTCCAGGATTAGAAGGCTTGAAAGGTGGCTAGCGATAAATACGGTACTCCCAAAGCCCTATTTCAAAGTGCTTTCTGATTTTTTTTTTTTCTTTTAATTCACTCTACTTAACATGTTTTAATTAGTTTGTTTACTTTGATACTATGGGCAGGTTCTATGGACATTTCTGATGTCTGCTCTTGTTGGTTATTCACTGTATCAAAGGAGGCGTCAATAACGGTGTTGTGGAAATTTATGGATCATGCATTGCCGAATACCGGGCCCAATTTTAAAGTGGATAATGTATAAACTAACTACTGGTACTAATTCATCGAACGTAGGTTCCATTTATCAAAGGTTAGTTGTTGGTTAATCCATACGTACATAATTTGGTGACCAAAACGAGGGAGATATGCAAAGTAACGCATGCCAAAGACCTTAATGCCCTTCACACAAGCAAGATAATGGATGAGTTGGAAATTTATTGAGGTATCTGGGCTGTTTAACCGTCCTTATTCATCGGTCAAAGATTAGAAAATGTAAGACTTGCATGATTTTTTCAAGGAAAGTTACATCACCTGTTTTAATTTTGTTAATTTATGTCTCCCATTTCCCGCACTTCATCAACACAAACAAAATGTGGAGTAAATCGATCCTTCTTAATACTTTATTATATATATATATATATATATATATATATATATATATATATATATATATATATATATATATATATATATATATATATATATAGTTTGATATAAAGTGAGAATATAAAATTATAAATCTAAGTTATTTAAAAGTTACTAAGAAAAGGCATTACCTTTTATCTCTTACTCTTGACATTTAAATGCAAAATAATAATAATAATAAGAAGAATTTTTAGTTAATATATTGCAGGTGTAAGCTCGCCCACGCGAGTAAGAATTCCCGTTGAAATTGGATATGAAAGTGTCATTAAATGCATTTTGTCCATGCATTCTTTTTAGATGTTAGTTTGCATTATTTTATTTCAATAAATTTAATAATTGAATTTATTAAAATCTCATGGAGTGATTATGTAACTGGAGAGGACCCCAATCAGCCAAGCAAGTGTTTCACTACCATCTTTAGATTCTTCATTTTTAATATATTTATATATGATGTATCTTTATCTTTATCAAGTTACTCCTAGTATTTTAAATAAGAAAACAACTAATTCATTTATCAAATTAAATTAATAATCTAAAGTTTATATACTTAAATTTTCTCCAAAATTCAAGTTTACATATATTAAAAAGTTTATAATTAAACTGTTCGATATCTATATTTAATAACACTAGTCATGACTGACTACAAGAACAAATTTTCTAAAATATAGTATATATTATCAATAAATAAATAAATACATTTACTTATAAATTAATCATATAAATTAAAAATACACTAATATTTTCCTTCTATTTATATTCTTTCTTTGTGTAGTCCGGGCCATTCTGCATTCTTTAAAGAATTGTGAATATCGATTATTAGTTGTAGTAAAAACTCAGTCATGAATTCGTTTTATTGGTTGAATCATAGGAGAGAATTGGAAATCGGTAATCACATACTATCCTTATAGCAAATATGTATTAGTTTAATGACTATTCACTACACCCGTACCCTCATAGCTCAATTCTACCTGGAAGAATTGTAAAAAACATGTAATGTAATGTTGTTACAAGGCATTTTAATGAGGGTTGTGTCCAAGAACAACTAACATAAAAAGAACAAATAAACCCCTCAAAAAATGAAAATGCATCAAAACTAAGCAGTAGCATTCACAAAGATGCTAAATGTTTCATATTGAAATAAGCAAAATCTTGGAACCTTCACTTTTCAATTCCTTGCTGAAGAAAGTAAGCCGCAACAGCAAGTAGGATGATAAATAATGCAATCCACAAGCTCAGCCCTCCTTGAAACAAGGAGAAAAAAAATGAGTCAATTGCAGAATCGGCCCTCTAATTGATATCATGATCAAATACAACATCCATTTAGTAAGTAAATAAGATACTTTATTGAACGGTGAGTTTCTACTTTCTTTGGTATCATTATTTTGTTAAGATTACTTTTTTGGGGTTTCGATGTTGTTGTTACCTTCGACCCTTTGCCCAAATACAGTAAGTTTTTGGATGAGCTAAATTTTTGTGAATTATCTATTTGAACAGAATCTCACAATACACACGACTGAAGCATGGAAAAAATGTCATTTTAAGCTACAATATTATCTTAGATTGCTTTTTCCCATTTTAAGCTAATATGGCACAATTTCACTTATAGCAGGAAGTGAAAGGACCATATACTAAGTACATAGAGTTCTGCAAAACAATTATGTATCTGTACAGCTAGAACATGTAGAGTTAATCTTTCAACAAACTATGAAATATACACGTACCATTTGTCTTCTTCTCTTCAATTATTGTTACCCTTGCACTTGAATCCATGGATACAGAAGCCAAAGCCCTAAATACAGAAGCCACAACTATGACTACCTTTAAACATGGCATAAGACAGTAAGGTAAATGATCATTTTGATATTTCAATGTAAACTTTGTCACTGGAAAAAAAATGATAATTATGAATTAGCCCATGAATACGTAAAAAATATGACAACTGCATTCTGTATTTATGTTTCGTGTTGTCATTAAGCCGTAGGACCAATTTGTCACCAAGAGGTACTTTTTGAAACTCGATTTGGGTATGAAGTTGTAAACATCAGAATCCAATTTGCTAGTATATTTGTCACACTTTTGATACGTTGAGTTCAAATAATAACATTTGGGGGACTAAATTGTCATCGATTTACATATTTAAGAACTAATATGGTCATTTATCCGACAACAAATTTCTAAGAAAATTATATAGACATAGTTCAAACCTTGAATCAGGGGAGAATGCTAAAGCAGTTACTATGCCAAGGTGAGCCCTTTTAATCATTGTCTGAATCCGCATATTTGTTGAATTTACAATTACAATGTCTCCTGAAGGTGTTCCACTGCATGTTAATGTATCAAAACAGAAGAAATCAGTTTTTGTGATAGTGCACCCTAAGGTCTGAAGGTAAACCACAAAATTTAAGTCACCATTTTCTTCCAGGTAGCTTAAGAAAAGATGAGGGTGCCATCTTAATTCTTAGAAAAACACAGAATATAATATGTACCATGCAAGAATCTTTCCATCAGCTGAGACATTAAATGCAGAGATTGCATCTCGAATAATATACTTCGAGCCCATCCTTTCCCATGTTTGTGTATTCCAGGTTAGGATGCTTCCACCTTTTTCTATATACAACAATAAAAACTTGTCAGTTAAAAGACACAGAAAGGAGATGATTTTTTCAGCAAAATTATTTACCTGTCATGGCAGCAATATATAGGACCTGAGTATTGTCATTTGTTTGAGAAAATCTGCAAGAGCTAAAAGTTTCACGCTGTATAAATTCAACAAAATATGATTAGAACACAATTATTGACAAAGCTATCACCAACTCCAACATGCGAAAAATATTGAGGACCCAAATATTTCATGTTTAGCCTAGGTGTTAGAGAGTCGCCTTAATTTCGGTTAGCCTTAAGCCTGCCTTAGTTGCAGTCTCTATGCAGGTTGCCTTCACTTTAGTCGTAAGGGAAGTGTTTAGTCAAATTTTGACTAGAGATATTACTTAAATAGAGTTTAGAAAGTTTGAACTGTCCACTCGTTGAAGTTGGTTTTGTGGGATTGATTCAAGTCCTAAATCCAAATCCTATGATGATATGAAAGTCTATTCTAACTATATTGTTGGGCAACCTTCACTGCCATGCTCCAAGCTGATTAGCCCTGGGCATTGGCTGCTCTAGTTGTGACCTATTTAGAGGCTGTCTTAATTGTGGAATCAAGGACTGTCCAAACTTTAATTTAAGTCATATATTAATTTGAAGTGGATTAAGCACCACACTTGAGGCCACAACTATGGTGGGCTAGGGGTAGCTACAATTAAGGTGACACTAGGCAATATATAATTTTCCCTACTAGATATTAAATGCTAGATTTACTTGATACATGTTGGCTATGTCTTTATAATTAATTAGATTTTGACTTCAGATAAAGGTATTTGCTAATAATGACTTGAACCAGATTAGGATATAGAGTTATGATACATGGTGAAAAAAGTTTCCAGAATAGTTATTGAGTTTATGTACTTTAAAAATATATGCTGTTGGCTTTAAACTATTTTATTTTATCCTAGCCCCCTACTGTTCTCCCCTTTATTTTTCCAATTGGTAACTTCAATAGAAAACCAATTCTAATGTTTCCTTTTAGGTTGCTTAAGGATTCACTCAGCCTATTATCACCAAACTAGTAAATTTTGGGACCCAAAGTAAACTGGTCATTCAATCCGTCCAACTGAGAACCTTCCATATGCACTTGTCTCACAATTGACAACAATCACAATTATTCATAATCAGTCATAACAGGTCAACATCAGCCCAAGGCCGTTGGCTGCCAGTGCTGCTGTGTGCACTCGTGCAACATGTTGAACCAACCTGAATCTTCTAAAAGGAACATTTTATTTGTAAAAATGATCTTAAACAGGGCCAAGACATATATTACTGAGAGGGAGGGGCACATGTCATCTTATGTTATGCTCAGGAACAAATGTTTAGTCTTTTTCTCCCCCTACTTTAAGTCAGATGAATAAATAGGTCCTAGATAATAATTGATACAGGAAGTTGTGATCAAATGAATATTATACTGTAAATAATAATTAAAAAGGTTTTAACACAAATGTACTAAAAAAAAAAACATTGTGTATCATCTAGAGTCTAGATTAATAAAATTAAATGTAAATTGTACTAGTAAATTGTGATTCATACATTTTTTATATCACTATGTATTATGTCAGTGTGGAGCAAAATCCATGACATAACCAAATTTCAACTAATTATCGACAAGAGAAAAAAAAAATGCAAATAAAGCTACAAAGCCCATGCAAAGTTTAAATCATATTAACTTTCTGCCCTGATAAGATTTTAATCAATTGCTCACATTTTCATTTGGCAGAGTAGATAAGACCATTGACGAAGAAATGTCCCAAACCCTGCAGGGGCCACCACTTCCCAAAGAGGCGAGTAATTTACCATCAGAACTGCAAGACAAACAAACCAAACTGTGAGGCAGAATCCTTTGCAAATGTTAAAGAGTCTCTCTTATCTTTGTCTTCTTTGCTTGTGAATTATAAGTCAAAGAGTAACATATCTGTGAAATGATTATGCTTCTATGCACATCAAACCTGAAATGTAAGTCCTTCACAGAAGAATGAGCATTAGACTCGTTGAGAATAACTTCCATGCTAGGCCACTTGAAAACCCTTATATTGCCATCCTGTACTGCATCAAATTACAATATCATACAACATCCCATTCCTTGATCGAGAAAGAAATTCTGTACAATTTAATGCTTATTTGTCAGAAGAATGAAAATATTGAAATCCTGTAGTGAAGAAAATTTAAAGCATATATCTGATGTGGAACTAGTGTCCAATAAAACAGAAGTTCCTCACCATTTAATATCAATTAAGAAATAGTGAAAAACAAATGGACAACATATCATATCATATCATACAATAATATTGAAGCAAATTGGTGCAGCCACAGTAAAGGTTACATTTTGAGATTTTGACAGCTTTTGAAGTAACATTTGACAATTCAATTTGATGTTTGTCATCCCTTTAGTTTGGGTTTTCTGTAAACACAAATAACTCTCTGATAAAGTACATATTTTCATTTGACTTTGTGATACCATATATGTTAGATATTTTAGATATTATTCATCACAATATATGTATTTGTCATATTTACTTGTATGATTCTTAATTATAAATATATTATCCTATGTATATTTTAAACACAAAGGAATTAATCTTATACCTAGTTTTTCACTATATTCAACATCGTATCTAGAACTTCGGTTTTTTTTTTTTTTTTTTTTTGTTGCCATCCCTGCCGCCACTACTATCGCCGAAGCCGCCACTATCGCCGCCGGAATCACAGTTAGACCGGCAACCACACTATGCTACTCGTCTCGACTAGGCAACTACCATGCCATTGAGATCGCCACGATCGGAGTCTCCACGTGCTATTTAAAGTTTTTAAAATTTTTCTCTGTCTTCCTCTTTGGCTTCTTTCGTTGTCTCACAATCATCTACTGTGGATCCTACGTCATCGTATAATGCAGACAAATTTGCTATTTTGAATGAATTTTTTCAAATGGTATGAGGATCATCAGAACTCTAGTCCCACTACTTCTATTGCACTCACAAGTACATCTTTTGTTGACTCAACTCAATCTCCTTCTCTTGGACCTTGGGTTCTTGACTCAGGCGCCACAGATCACATTATTGGGAACAAATCTTTGCGTTCTTCTTTATCCTCTCCAGATAATTTACCTTCGATTACAATGGCTAATGGGTCTAGGGTTTTGTCTCATGGTGAGGTTCCTAAACATTTTTGGGGTGATGTTGTTCTTACTGCGTCTTATCTTATCAATCGTATGTCATCTTCAGTTCTAAATAACAAAATTATTCATTCTCTTTTATTTCCTCATAAACCTCTATACTCCTTACCTCTTAAAGTTTTTGGATCTACATATTTTGTTTATAATTTTAATCCTGGTCTTGATAAGTTATCTCCTAAATCACACAAATGTGTTTTTCTAAGATTTACTCTATCACATAAAGGATATAAGTATTTATCTCCTTCTCTTAACCGTTATTTTATTTCTAAAGATGTCATTTTTAATAAGTCTTCCTTTTACTTTAAGTGTCCTTCTCTATGTGTGTCGTTGTCTGCTACGGTTAATATTTCTGTTGTTTGTGATTCTCCTATTAGCCCACATTCAGATTCTCCTCTGCCACCACCACTTCAGGTTTATAGTCGAAAACAACGATCCCAACAACTACCAAACGACTCACTTCTAGTGCTAATTCCTTTGTCTCCTTTGACTCCGACAACTGAGTTTGACCTTCCAATTGCCCTCTGTACAATTATACATTCTACCGTAATCCCTCACCTCATTATACTACTTTGAGTTACCATAGATTATCTCCATCTTTTTATATTTGGCTTTCTTCCATTTCTTCTGTGTTAATTCTCAAATTCGTAGGTGATGCTTTAGCCCATTTTGGCTGGCGTCAAGTCATGCTTGATGAAATGAGTGTTCTTCAGAATAGTGGAACTTAGGAACTCGTCTCATTACCATTTAGGAAATCTTTTGTTGGTTGCAGGTGGGTTTTTGCTATCAAAGTTAATCAAGATGGTACTATTGACCATCTCAAAGAGTCTTGTGGCAAAAAGTTACACACAAACTTCTGGTTTGGATTATGGTGACACCTTTTCTCCAGTGACAAAGATGACTTCTATTCGCTTATTCATAGCCATAGTTGCTCTTCAACAATAACCTCTTTACCAGCAGGATGTCAAAAATATTTTTCTTAATGAAGATTTGAGAAGTTTATATGTAGTAACCTCCAGGCTATGTTGCTTAGAAAAAAGTCTTCTAGATTAGTATGTCGTCTTCACAAATATTTATATGACCTAAAACAGTCTCCTAGGGCCTGATTTGGAAAATTTAGCAGTGTCGTTCAACAGTTTGATGACTCGCAATGAAGTAGATCATTCAGTATTTTACTGTCACTCATGTGTTAGGTGTATCTATTTAATAATATATGTTGATAATATTGTTCTTACAGGGAGTGATCACCATGGCATCTCCCAAATGAAGCAACACCTTTGTCACCACTTTCAGACTAAGATCTTGGCAAACTTAAATATTTCTTGGAGATTGAGGTAGCACAATCCAATAATAGTATTGTTATATCTCAGAGAAAGTATGCATTGAATATTTTAGAAGAAATTGGGTTAATGAACTAGTTTGAGAAGTATAGAAGATTAGTTGGAAAATTAAACTATCTTACTATTACTTGTTTTGACATTTCCTTTGCAGTTAGTGTTGAGTCAATTTCTTAATTCCCCATGTCCAGATCATTAGAATGCAGTCATTCATATATTAAAGTGCATACATTAAAGGATCTCCTGGAAGAGGTTTGTAATATGATCACAATAACCAGGCTAAAATTGTCTATTATTCAGATGCTAACTGGGCAGGATCTCATTTTGATAGAAGATCTACTTCCGGATACTATGTTTCTATTGGAGGTAACTTGATCTCTTGGAAGAGCAAGAAACAAAGTATTGGGACAAGATCTAGTTCAGAAGCATAATATAGAACTATAGCCTCAGCCACTTGTAAACTTGTTTGATGTGGACATGACATATGACAAGGGCTAGAGCAAGGGAAACTCTTCAACAAGTATTGTTGGTTGACCAAATTGTGTTTTGGATTAATCAATTAATGGATTTTAGTTTGATTTTATTGCAAGTTGTAATAAGGACCCAATTGGAAACTTAGTCATCAGTCTTTGGGAGACTAAGAGGGTGCATAGCTGATTGACTTTTGGTTGTCACAATTTCAGTTACAATCAATCATTAAGTAGTATCAATTCCTAAGTTAATGGATCATTATTAGTCTTTATTTGTCTCCATTAAGTAGTTTTCAATTCCTAGGTTAATGAATCATTATTAGCATTTATTTTCCTTTATTAAATCTTTGTAATTCTGATGGCAAAGCTTCTATATAGGTTGAACCATATTTTTATCAAATATAACAAGTTGAATTTTATTTAAAAATATTAGAGTTTACCTCTTTTATCTTAGTGAGAGTGATTCTTCTAAATTCTTGAGTGATTCAAGAACCCTTGGTTGTATCAGAGGATTTTCACATCCTTTGTGAGTTGCCTCCCTTGGGAAGAGTGATTCTTTCCTTCCACCTTATCACTAAATTCTTAAATTTCCTACAAGGTTCTAACCCTAAAAATCCTAAATCACCCCTTGTGCAATTGAGATTCATATCATTGTTTGGCTTAAATAATTACTTAAAGAGTTACAATTTGGAGATATCACTCAAATGACATTTATATGTGACAATTTCATATTAACTCTAATCCTGTCTTTCATGAAAGGACCAAACACATTGAAGTTGACTGTCATTTTATTCGAGAAAAGATTGTATCTGAATTAAGACCGAGTTCGTTACCTCAAATGAACAGTTAGTAGATATTTTCACCATATATTTACGAGGACCTAGAATTGATTATATTTGTAACAAGTTTGACACATATGATTTATATGCATCAACTTGAAGGGGAGTGTTAGATATTATTCATCACAATATATGTATTTACCATATTTATTTGTATTTACCATATTTATTTGTATGACTCTTAATTATAAATATATTACCCAATGTGTATTTTAGACAAAAGGAAATTAACTTTATACCTAATTTTTCACTATATTCAACACTTTACATCAAATTCATCTTAATGATGATTTCACAACGGTATCCATGTGTATGAAGCACAGTAAAACAAGTTTGGAATTTGGATAGAAATCCTTTTTGTATATATTCCTTAGTTGAAAATGAAGTGTAGTAATAATTAATTAATATTTTCCAAAAATCATATTTCTTTTCATGTTGCTAAAAATTACAATCAATCTTATAAAATGATTTTGTTTGACGTAAGTAAATATAAAGGAAATCTATACCTCCCCACCAGCAGCTACTGCAGTACCATCGTTGTTGAATGCTAATGCTAATTGCTGTCCAACATCCTCCAACTGTGTGAGCACTTTCTCTGACACCTTCAGACTCAGCTTATGAATTTCAGAACTCTTGTTTTGATCCCAGTCAAACCATCTGCATGAACAAGGCATAAATACTGATCATGGTATATTATAGCTAGATGTAATTATAGAACAAAATAAAATCAAAGTTTGTTGTTGGAATAAAATATCAGTAGAGCATGTAGATTACGGACTGACAAAAATACCGTTACTTTCCTTCTTTTACTGTATTGTTGTCTGCACTTCAGTAAACGAATCCATACTTTCATTTAGTAAGTGGCAATACTAGGGAAATGTTCGGAGAATTTACAATGGCATACACCAAACATACAGCTGACAATCCTCTAAACAAATTGACAAGAATGAAAAGAAAATGATATTTTTTATTTGCCTTTATTTTGTTCTTAAGTAAAGAAATTTCCACAAAATGAAAAAATAAAAATAAATTATATAATAGAAACTTTCAACACTACCAATGATTAGCCGTTCTTTCCATTAAAATTTCTGTCCAGAAACCATGCTGATTTCCTATTGCTCAACAAAGCATGACTTCTAAATGTATGCTCAACCTAGTCCGGATTCACTCATCCAAAACATTTGACTCAAGGATTTAAACATAGAACTGAACTATATACAGATATTAGCAAAGAGGTGATGAGAAGCAAAGACCTGCAAACCTTTGGCGTTTCCATTGCACAAATAAGGCCATCACCCTGGGATTGAAGTGCCATCCTATAAGGCAATTCGGAATCAGTTCCTAACTTACACACCTGAAATATTGAGAAGGTTACTCAAACAAAAGAGTTTAGTATTACAAACACATGAACCGCATCTTTGTACAATCTAAGACGAACAACAAAAAATTAATGCATCGCTTTGCTATCAATTCTATCAAATCTACTTCCACAAAAGAGCACAGACTATCAAAATCAAGCAACTAGAACAGATTCCACACATCCTTACAAAAAAAAAAAAAAAAACAGCATCAATCCGCATTGCCTCACACGACGAAGATCCTAACCATCCAATTCCTTCCACAAAACCAATTTCTTAAGAATTGCATAATCTGCTTGAAGCAGAAGGAATATTCGTACCGGTTGGTCAGAGAGAGAATTCGACGCAACATCGAAATGTGCAATCACCAAAGCATTCGGAATACCGCTGCGACCTGCTCCGCCGCCACCGGCGAACAGCAGGTAGTTGCCGGCAACCGTCGAGGGATCCGGCTCCGCCTTAGTAGGGGGGTCTGGCTCCGGTGCGGTGGAGGGCGCAGTGTTGTGATCGGAGTCGTGGGAATCATCTGCGGCTTCAATTTGGCGCGATTTGATAAGGTGTTCGGGAATCCAAACAACGGAGTAGAAAGGAACACCGTATTTCTTCAAGTTAGGAGGGTCTGGGATTTGTCTTTTCCCCATTCTCTCTCTCTCTCTCAACTTTTTTGTTTTGGCGTGAATTTGATTCAGCTGCGTCACGCTGCTTGTTTTCTCAAAGCGTTTTTTTTTTTGCTATCCCCACACCATAAAACTTATTTCAATCTTTCAACGCCCATTAACATTGACCGAGCAGGTTGGTTTTAAGTAAATAATAGTTTAACTGTATTTTTATTCCCCCAAACAAGAGAAATGTAAAATCACCCTTAATATAAATTATTTTTTTCTAATTTCATCTCATTATTAATGTTATCACCTTGGTCTCAAGTAATTGGAAATTTTCCTCAATTAAGTGTAAAAAAACATATATATTCATTTAAAACAAACAAACCAACCATGCTGACAATTAAGAAAGAAAATACAAATTTTAAACACACAGTCATTAATGGGAATAACCCTTCTCTATACCCCTTCAATCAATCCACTGTTTAATTACAAATCTCTTATTCACCATCTTAATTTGATCCCTCTTAAAAGTGAGATAAATAAACTTTTATATTATCTAGTTGCAAATTGTGACATCCATCCATCACAACTTCACACTAAACTTTATGTTTAGTATTCAAGATACTTGCATATGCATTAAACTTGATTAGATTCTATAATTTGAAGTTTTAGTAAATTCTTGTCAAATGTGATTAGAACCTTAGCAACATAATAAAAAAAATCATTTAAGAGCAAAAATTATATATTTAATCTTTTGCATGTTATGCACACCTAATTGGATTTAAAAAAAATATATATATATATATATATATATATATAATTAAAATCAAATAAATAATTTATGATATTTATATTCATTTAATTTACATTTGTATTCAAATTATATTATATGTATATTAATTTAATCATTTAATTTAGAAAAACTTGACATTAAAATCTAAATGTAATAAATTTAAATTAAGTTCTATTTGAATTAAATTAATTTTTATATTTATTATTAAATATTAAAAGTATTTTTTAAGATTAAATTGTTAAATTTAGAGGTGGGAGTAGTTCTAATAAGACAATGGTTCAAGAAGATATAAATGTTGGGTAATTTTAATTTTTTTCCTTCGTTTATTACTTTTTTTCATTCATTATTACTTTTTTATATAAAATTTTTGCTCATTTTTTTTATATTGTGATAATCTGAGCACCTGTGCATTCTCTATTTCTGTCCATTTCACTGTTACAGCACCAATATCATTTTATAGCATATATAACATCATTTCTTTATTAAAAATGATGTTGTTAAAAGTTAATATTTTTAACATTAATTATAAAATAATCGATGTTAAAATTCATATTTTATAACATCGATTAATCGATATTAAATGACTAATTTATATATATATATATATATATATATATATATATATATATATATATATATATAATATTGTAATTAATATAATGAAATTGAAATTTATAATAATGTTTATAATATAATAATTTATTATTAGTGAAAATTTACCATGGTTAATATAATAAATTTGGTAGCTTATAAATAAATAAATTAAAAACTGTTCATCCCAAATAAAATAAAAAATCTAACAAAATTATTTTTTAGAGTCAATTTTAATTTTAATTTTTAAAATAAAAATTAATAATTAATTGGATTAGATTTAAAATGTAAAAATATAATTTTTGATTTGAAAAGAATCCATTAAAATTGATTAAATTTGGATAATTATGGATTAAACTTGAATATTTAGATTTTTTTATCCATTCTTACATTTATAATAGTAGATGGAGTAATATGGTGGATCTATGGGGAAGCAGGGATTACAAACCCGCAACCTCAAATTAATTATATATATGAACTTTTTATAAAATTAAATAAAGATTATTTTATAAATATAAATAAAATTTTAATTTGTAATTTTTTTTCTTAATTTTTTATTTATAATAAATATTATATTTATTTTTTTATATAATTTTTTTATTTATATTTATTTTTTATATTTTCATATTTTTTTTCTTATATTTTTTCATTTTTTTCATTTTAACTTTTTTTTCTTACTAGTCATTCATTCTATCTTTTCCTATATTTATCTTTTAATTTTATCACTCATTAATTTTTTTTTCATAATTTCATTTTACAACATGTATATTTTTATCTTTCATTTTTAAATTTATCTTTTTTTAATAATTGCATTTCTATAACTTAAAATATATATTTTTTATTTTTATTTTTTTAGTTTTCTAAAAGACATTTGTTTTTTAGTTTTTTTAATTTTTTTTATATTTTCTTCGAAAAAACATAAAATAAAAAAATAAAAATAATAAAAATAAGGGAGATATTTCACAATACTTTTTTTCTAAAGAAAAAAATTAATTTTTTATGATTTGTATTTATTATTGTAACAATTAGGATATATAGTGAAATATAAAAATATAAAATATTATATAAAAATTTTATTTATTATAAATTAGTTAATTATTTTAATATATTTTTATATTTTATTTTAAAAAATTATTTTAAATACATTTAAAATTAAAATATAAACTTAATTTAAAAAAAGAAATGAAACAAATTTTATTTTTTAAAATTTAAATTTAAATAATAATATTAAATATTAAATATATTTATTTTTATATAATAATTGATTTTTATATATTTATCTCCTCCTTTAAGATTTTGGTTCCTACATGATCTCATTCTAACACATGCTTGTCTATATGCATTTACGTAGACGTGATCAAAATTGAATTAATTAAAAAAAAACATAAATTGATTCAAAATATTTAAAATAGATTAAAAAGAAATATTTTTGAATTTTTTTTCTTAATTAAGTCATTTAGTTGGGATTTCAAATTAAAAATTGAAACAAATAGTTTATATATATAATATGTTTGTTAGTTGATACTGGTTTTTCTTGAAACCAGATAAATAATTTGATTAATATATTTATATTTAGCAAAACATGATAATAAAATTGTATTATAATTTTTAATTATAGAATTATATAATTTATTTATAAATGAGATAAGGTTGCAATTATATTTATAATAACAGTTATGAAAAAATTGTTTATATTACTTTTCTATTATAAAATATTTAATCATTTTTCATAAATAAATGTTTAATAATTTTAAAAAATATCTAATAATTTTATAATAACAAATGTGTTAAAACCGATTCAAAACAAATCATAAAAATATTAGTTTAAATTTTATATTAAACTAAAATTGAATTCAAATTAAAACTTATATTATGTGACTTTTTTATTTATATATAACTCAAATTAGAAATAATCATTGTTAAGAAAAGAAAATTTCCAAATTTTTTTATTCACATGAAATTTAACAAATAATTTGAAGACGTCGGAGTAATTTAAATTCTTAATGAATAAATACAAATATATTTAACTTTTTTAAATACTAAATATATTTATTATTTATTTAATTTTTTTTATAAGAAACTAGGAAGTTTATAGCTAAGTTAGTGAAGGATATAGTTATTTGACTTCTAATATATTTTATTAATTGTATTTATTAAATAAGAATGTAATGTAACAATATATGGTTCCAGTTGAGTTCATGTATATGATTGATTTTTTTTATTTTATAACAAATACACTTTTCAAAAAAAATAAAAGTAAGGAACCAGATATTTATACATATATATATATATATATATATATATATATATATATATATATATATATATATATATATATATTCTATTGCTTATTTATGCAACCAATAAAAATTAAACTCAATAAAGTTTAAACATCAGTTGAAAATTAAAAGCCAATGATAAAAGTTCTTTCTAGAAAATATTGTCCATATACACCATTAAAAGAGTAAAATATGAAGATAAAACTAAATGAATTAGCTTAAACAAGAGTTAAAAATTAAATTTCAAAGAAGTTAGCTAATATGAAATATTTTCTGTAAATTAGTTTATGGAAATTTTATTTCATTTTTTCTTCTTAATTTTATTTTCAAAAAGTGATTTTTGAAGAAATGTTTCTATATATACAAAGTAGAGTGATACTGCCTTTTCTAACGACAGATAAGGTCCAGTGTGTAATCTTTTGTTTTAGCAAAACTGGTAGCAGAGACATCATTCAACCTTCAGCCACCAAGAGTCAGAGGTGCTAAAAGCACATGGAAATCAACTTGAATGACTAAGTGAGGAGTGCCAACATCACAAAAAAGTGTCTTGCTAGTATTTCTCATGTCTAAATTCAGGCCAGCAACTTGCTACCACTTCAAGTCACGGTCAAGGATTGCTTGAGTTTGGAGAAAATCTAGGAGACAAGGTTTCAATCCCATAGGAAACAGTGGAACCAAGTTTTCTAAAATATTTGCATTAGTTAGTCCATATCAAATCTAATGCTTTTTTAATTTTTTGTTTTTGTTTTTTCTGCTATCGTAAGTACAAGTCAGTTCTCAGTCACAATTGTGTGTATCTCCTGGTCGTCCTTGGTTGGTCTTTGTCTCTTCATTACTGATGAAAGTGAAGCTACAGCCTCTCCAACTGTTAAGAAAAGGTAGTCTGCTCGAATGAAATCATTTGCATCATATGATTTTTGCAGCTTATCTATGACCTCAGCTAGAGGATTCACCAACACAATCTATCACAATTTATTCAAGTTAGTCACAGTTGAGATTTAATTCCTTCCTGTCAAGGTGTTTAATGATCAACTGTGTCAGAGTTTATCATTCTTACATCAACACCCTTCATTGTCAAAGTGGCTTTCAAGTCCTTGAAAAGTGAGACTCCACTTGTGTCTATGTTACTCACAGCTGAAAATCTCAAAGATCATATCATTGATGTATATCATTTATTACTGAATGTGTATCCCATTTTCCATACAACGAAGGTAGATGAAACATGTCCTGTAATATACTCGAAGAAAGATCATTACATATAATTAACGCAATTAGTTACCTGACATATCAAGAATCAGAAATTGAAGGCAAACGTTTTCCACTGTGCTAGCTTCTTCTTCTACCCATCGAAATATTCTGAATGATAAATGCAAATGGCATAATAACTATGAAAACAATAACCAATGCAGCTAGAAAAGTTTCACAGACGTCATAAAATCTTTGAATATAAAACCAACCTCTCGTTGAGATATGTGATGTTTGCAAAGTTGATGGGAGCCTCTATGCTTAAAATAAGAAAACCAGGTACTCTTATAGCTTCCTTATAATGATGAATATTTCTGTATATGTTTGTCCGAGGTATGTTCCCCAACATTACAGTTTTAGGCCTGGTAATTTGCAGAAGTATCCTCAACACTGATAATGCGACCTGATCAACAAGATCGGCATCTCCAAATCACAATGATTAATCAAAGAGCTATTAGAGTGTTAAATCTAGAAAGAAGAGCTCCTAATATTTTTCCCCAACTTGCAAAGAAGGGTGCTAAAAGTTTCCACAGATCACATATTCTGGATTTTATCATTGCATTTGTGAGAAGTACGTTTATACGTTTCTGCTAGGATTGTCAGCATTAGCTGGCAAATTAGTTTTGTCTTACTGTCAATTCTGTTATCCTCTCTAAGTTGGCCAGTTTGTTTGGATAGTTAGTTATTTTCTTGTTCATTTTAAATTGTCTATGCTGCATATATATTCAGCATCCCTGTACCTTACGTTGGTGTAATAATGAGGATTTAACGTTATCATCTTCTTCCTCAATACTTGACCATGGGTTCCCCCAACCAGAACATTACACAGACTCCGGATCACCTGGTCAATCCAGCAAATCCGCTCTACCTGCATCCCGGAGAGAATCCAACATTGGTACTTGTTTCGCCTCTTCTCACGGAGAACGGAGAACAATTTTTACCAACGGGAGAGAGACATGGTAGTAGCACTTGAAACCAAAAACAAGGAGAAGTTCATTGATGGTACTCTTTCTTGTCCACCTATTACAGATCCACTACACGAGACTTGGCGTAGATCCAATCGGATGGTGATGTCATGGCTCACTCGTTCCATGACTCCTTCGACCAAACAATCGGTGATGTGGATGGATACGACATCGAAGATTTGGAGGGATCTCAAGGATCGCTTCTCTCATGCTGACAAATTCCGGATTTTTTATCTTCAAAATCAGATTCTTGCTTGTCGTCAAGGTGACTTCAGTGTTTCTGAATACTATACGAAACTGAAAATCATGTGGAAAGAATTAGAGCTCTATTGGTGTGTTCTGACTTGCACCTGTTTGACACCTTGCGTGTGTGGTCTTCTCTCTAAACTTCACAAAGAAAGAGAGGATGATTACGTGATTAGATTTCTTCGCGGACTTAATGAGAGCTATGCACAAGTTCGTTCTCAGATCATGATGCTGGATCCAATGCCTTCGATTGTCAAAACTTTTTCTATGATTCTTTAGCATGAACATGAATTCATTGGCATCAATCCGAAACGTTCTGTTTCAAATTCTTTAGCTTTTGCTGCTATGTCCAATAATCAACCAAGATTCAACTCCTCTGACCGAACCAATTCCAATGCAAGCAAGAACAATTCCAAAAACAACAAATTCTGTGAAAAATGCAAGAAAACCAATCACACCATTGAGACTTGCTACTTTCGTATCGGTTTTCCTACTGGTTACAGAAAGAATAAAACCAACAACAAAGCTTCTGCTAGTTTGGTTGAAGTGGATTCACCTGCCTCTATTCAACAACTGGATTTGGATGGTAGTCCTTACAATGACTAGTTCACTTTCTCTAAAGACCAACATCAAGCAATCTTGGCTTTGCTCCAACACACTAAGGATCATTCATCCTCAGTGAATCATGCTTCTGTCCACAACTCAGGTACATCTTCTGCTTCTAATCATTGGATTGTTGACAGTGGTGCCACTGACCACATTTGTCCAACCAAATCTTTATTTCATAACCTTCGAGCCATAAAACCAATACATATTAAAATGCCTAATCACACTACTGTCATTGCTAATTTTTCAGGAAATATTCATATAGGCGACTTATTGCTTGCTGATGTCCTATTTTACCTGAATTTTCTGTTTATCTCATATTTGTTCCCCAGATTGTTTCCACTATTGATTGTATGGCAGTGTTTTGTGATTCTCACTGTTTCTCTTTCCAGAAATCTCATTTCAAGATGATTGGAGCAGCTAGGAAGATTGATGGCTTGTACTGTCTTGAAGAATCAAATGATTTGAGTTGCAATGAAGTTTTACAACATTCTGATATAATAAATAAATCAAATATTTCTGTTGTAAATGCAGTAAATACCAGTGAATTGTGGCATCATAGACTTGGCCACACTTTGAATTCCATTTTACAGTTGTTATCTTCTCAATATAATAATATTATATACAAAAATTGTACGCCATGTGACACTTGTCCTTTTGCCAAACATAAGAAATTACCCTTTCCTGTTAGCACCTCTAAAAGTTCTCATTTCTTTGAACTGTTGCATGCTAACATTTGAGGACCTTTACACACAATTTCCATTGATGGTCATAAATATTTCTTAATGCTTGTTGATGACTTCAGTAGGTTCATATGGGTCCATCTTTTAAAATAAAAAATTGAGGTCAAAATTGTTCTTCCTACATTCATTAATCTCATTGAAAATCAATTTAGTATAAAACTTAAAAGACTAAGGTCTGACAATGGAAAGGAATTTTTCTTAACTGATTTCTTTTCTTCCAAAGGCATTTTTCATGAAACTTCATGTATTGAAACACCTCAACAAAATGGAATAGTTGAGCGAAAACATCAATAGTTGAGCGAAAACATCAGCATATTTTGAATGTAGCTTGAGCCTTACTTTTTCAATCTGATTCGTCTTCTCTTTTTTGGTCCTATGCTATAAAACATGTTGTTCATTTCATCAAGAGGCTCCCTACTCCTTTTCTTGAACATAAATGTCCCTATGAAACAGTTTTTGGAAAAATTTCTGACCTTAGCACACTTAGAGTTTTTGGTTGTTTAGCTTTTGCTAACACAATCACTTCTAGCAGAACCAAATTAGACAAAAGAGCCTCTAAGTGTATTTTTCTAGGTTTCAAACCAGGGGTCAAAGGTTATCTCTTATATAATCTCACTACAAAATATATTTTTTTTTATCTTGCAATGTGATTTTCTATGAGTCACATTTTCCATATGCTTCTAATTCCTCATCTGTTTCTAATAACCACAACACTGGTACTACTGCATCTCAACAGTCATTTGATTCCTTAATTGATTTTGACATTATTTCTGCTATTCCTAATCATGTTACTCCTGACATTGTCTCTAGTAATACTGATCATAATGTTGTTGAACCCCTATGTAATTCAATGATGATTCTAATGATGTTGTGCAAATAGTTGATCAACCTGTTAGAATTTCAACTAGACCTAGGAAACCACCTGTTTACTTGTATGATTAAGATTGTCCAACTCTTTCTTCTGCTAATACTTCCTGTTGTACTCCTTATCCTTTACAATCATATTTGTCATATTCCAATTGTTCTGACTCTCACACTGCCTTTTGCATGTCTTTATCTGCCACCATCGACCCTACTTCCTTTAAAGAGGCTTGTTAGCATATACACTCTTTACTATTGATTGAAATATAATAACAGGGAGTGAGACTCGTTTGAGTTATTTGAATAACAAGTATATTTGAAATTCTTAACATTTTTCTCATGACAAATGTCAATAAAAGCAAATATTGAAAAGCAGCCGTCAAAGATAATGGCGATTCCAAAACTAATATAGTTGATAAGTAAGTATTGCAAGACAAAATGCAGAAACAATGAACTTACTGCGATAGCTAGACCCATCTGGACAGAGATAAAAATCACACCAAAGAATGCAGTCAACATCACAACGAAATCGAATTTGTCTATCTTCCAAATGAGATAAGCAGAAGGAATATCAATGAGGCCAATTACTGCTGCTATTATGATTGCACCCAATATAACATTTGGTGTGTATTTGAACAATGGCAAGAGAAACAGTAGTGTCATCAAGACTGTCAAAGACATTACTACGTTGGACATTGCTGTTCTAGCACCTGCGTTGTGATTGATAGCTGAGCGAGAGAAAGATCCTGAAGTTCATAGTTTAAATGGTTTAATATTTTTTATTCTGACACCTTTATACATGGCTTCATTAATTTTACAAGACTACTTAGGCTACGGACATGAACCTGTTGTAACATAGCAGGATGTGGTGGAGCCAACCACATTCATTAATCCGATTGCCATCATTTCCTTATTTCCATCCACTTTGTAGTTTCTTATTGTAGCAAATGTTCTTCCCACTGCAATTCCCTCCTGTTTCAAAAAACCAAGGCTCAACTACTGTTTGATACTTCCAAGTTCCAAGTAAACAACAAGAAGAAAAACTGTCATTTATGCCCGGTTTAGTCATATAAATAGGAGAAATGTTATATACACAGAAAATTTTACAACTAAGAAAGAAAGAGGGAGAACAGAAAGAAATGAGATGTGACAAATGATATTTAGAAAAAGATAATCACATAAATGATGTTTTATACTAAAAAAAACTCACGTATGATAGTTCAAAATATAAGTAAATCTTAACCGACTTGCTCTTATTTAATTAAAATTGTATTTGTATATAAAGTTTGATATAAAAAGATTAGTGTTGAGAGTCCAGAGTTGAAATTTTACATTGAGTATAAAAGAGAAAGTTGTATAAAACACTAACCAGTTATCTTAGGATTTTCAGTTAAAGATGAGATCACATGATTTGTAGAGTAGTGACTAGTAACAGATTTTTTATCGTAGATTTTTCTATTGAAAATCTTTGTTAAGGATTTCAAATAAGTAAGTTTCTTTATTGTTTCAACAAAAGTTGTAGGGAAGTAAGTGTTGAGGTGTTAAAGATTATAAATTGACTTATTATATTCTCACTGTAAAACCAAAGATATTAATATCTTGGTGACATTTTGATTAACTCCTAAACCTGGAGTTCCACCTAAAAAAGCAGAGCCATAATAGCCGCTGAATCTTCAACTGGTACATGGGCAGCTGTGTGGATTGATGGGCTACCAACTTATTTGTTGAAAATCCAAATGTGAGTTAAAATGTCGAGTCGAAGATTCATATCCTCTTATATGCTTATTTCGTGGCGAAAATATACGTGTTAGTAACTAAATGATGATAGCTAATTTTTGAACTAGTTTGAATTAGGTTTTTGTCTTATATATGAGACCGGAATAAATGGTTGCAGAGTTTTGTGTATGAGTAACACATTTCAAACGACAAAAACTGTTTGTGAGAAGGATGAAGCTTACTGTAAGGGATAAAATGCCAGTGATAAGGCCAGTTTTGATGACTAGGCCGATATGATCTCCTTGAAAGTGTAGCTTATCTACTGAAGGAGGATTTATTCCTCTTGGCAATTTTCCAATCTAGCAACCAAAGCAGCAAGTAGCAGTTCATTGGTTTAGACACTGATAGTAACAATAACATATAGCTCTTAAAATTCAGTGATAGTGATTACAGAAGCATTGGAATGGAGAAACTTACCACACTGATGCCATGACGTGGAGCCTTGATTAGAAAAGCCACGACAGTAGAGATGATGACAGACACAAGAGGAGCACCAGCTGAGATCCAGAATAAGTTGGGTTTCTTCATGCTCTACACAAGTTTATTTTGGTACAAATTACTCAGTACTCAATAGTTTTATGCCCTACTAAGTTAATTTTTTAAATATATATATATATATATATATATATATTAAAGCATACTTGAACTTAATTGATTGATTAATATTTTTAATTAAATGAATTAAAATAATTATTAATTTTATAACAATAAAAATTTAATTTTTAAATACTGATGATTTAAATTATACTTTTATAATATATGGGAATCTTTGAAATAGTATAATACAAAATTATAAAATTTATTTTAATAATAATATTGTTTCAGCAAATTAAAGATATGATTAATCCATCAAACCTCACTGGTTTGTCATGTCTCGTGCAAATAAATTTTACTTTTATAATTTACTAAGTGCAAATTAGGCATGGCAACGGGGTGGGACGGGTTTTGCCTCCCGATCTCCACCCCTGACTTTTTTAATCATCCATGTCTCCGTCTCCAGATCTCCGTCGGGTTAGAAATTAAGTTATCATCCCCGTTCTTACTCGGGTTTCGGGTTCCCCACCCTGCCCAGTCCTTGATTTATATTATTTTTAAGAAGATAATTACATTTATAATAAATTAATTTTACTATCTATTTTTTATATATAAATAAATATTTATAATTTATAATTATTATTAATTAAATATACATTTTAATTTATTATATTTATATTAAAATATGTATGCAAAATAAATATTTAATCATTTTTTATTTATAATATTATTATATTATAACACTTGTATTCAAATATTTGAATATTTATAACACTATTATTATAATATTGTATTCAAACATTTGATTATATATATAAGTTAATTCATTTTAAAGTTGTTATTTAAAAATATGAAATATATAGTTTATAAGGAAATATTTAATAAGTTAATTCTTATTCAATTAGTTCGAAGTAATAAAAATTTAAATTATCAATTCCTTTAATCCTTTAAAATACAATTATTTTATTAAGATAAAATTTGATATATGATAAATAAGAATAATAAGATAAAAAAATGACATAATAAAACCTAATAAATATAAATTATAAATAAAATAATATTAGTAACTACTAAGATTTATGTAAAATATTTAGAAAAAGATAAAGAATAAAAAAAATTAACTTTGTGTTCATCAAATTGGTTGAAAAGATTGAAAAAAAAAACAAATTTATGGAAAAGATTAAGGAAATGTGAAAAACTGAAAGGTAGGAGAAAGAATAATGTAATAAATTAATTGATATAAAAGATTAAAAAAAGACAAAAAAAATTAAATAGTGGGTAGAAGAAAAAAAATTGGTGAAATATAAAAAAAATGACCTTATATGTAATAAAAAAAGAAAAGAAAATATTTTCAAAATATTAATATTTTAAAATTTAAATTTAAATTTAAATATAAAGTCGAGGCAGGGACGGGGACGGGGTCGGGGTGGGGATTGCTTTATCCATCCCCGCCCCCGCCCCCGACTTTTTAAAGTGGGGAAAACCTGAACCCGCCCCCAATCAACTCGGATTTTTCCCATCAAACTCGGGGGTGGGGACGGATCGGTCCCACGGGAACGTGTTTAATTGTCATCCTTAGAGCAAATGGACATGTATTCCACGTGTACTATATATATATATATATATATATATATATATATATATATTTTTTTTTTTTTTTTTAATTTGAAACAATTTGACTGAGAAATAAAAGAAAGGATAGAAAACAGCATAAAAGAATAAAAAGAATAGAAAATGAGAATAAAAAGTTGTAAAATTTTATGTGATGATAATGTAATTTTTTAAATTAATACTTAATCTTACTCAATTTCATTAAATAATTTAATTATATATATATATATATTAAATTTGTAACAATTTGACAGAGAAAATAAAGAAAGAACAATTTAAACATGAGAATAAAAATAGTTTATTTTCAATATATTAATTACGTGAATTGTTTTATACTAAAATTTATTCTTGGTCACATCATTTTATAGTTTAGTAGTAAAAGTTTTCAAATTGTGATAATTTGACTGAGAAAATAAGCAAAGATAAAAAACTGAGAATAAAAAAATGCTTAATTTTACTGTGTGTGAATTTTTTTTATATTACTATTTGGTATAAGTCCACATCTCCTTTAATAATTTAATTATGTTATTTATTAAATTGGTTATATAATCTACGTAAAATACTATTTAATAATTTTTTATACTGATAAACTATTAAAGTTAAATTCGTATAAGCTTTTAATCATATAGTAAAAGAAAAATGTAAGAAAATAACACATAACTGAATACTAAAAAATGAGAAATGAAAACATACAATATGTCTTGCGCCCAGTAGTAATATCAAGAAGCAAAAACCCATCAATATCGTTTGCCACGACCACTGCAAAAGGTGACGTAACATTTTTATTCAGAATAACAAAGTATGCACTAAATTGAGATGAACAAGGAAGGGAGAAAAAAATTAGGATCAACCTCATGTACGTTTTGAAAAACAGAACTCAAAACAGGAACCAGGGCCATCTTTTTAGTGAAATGTGTGATTCCGAGAAGACCCTTGAGCTGTTGTAGAGCTACAATTACAGCTGATCCACCCATGAACCCAATAAGGATTGCCTTTGATAGAAAATCAATGATAAATCCAAGCCTGCAAACATTTCAAACCATTTTGCTGCCATTTGTTAGAACAGAAATGAAAGCTAAACTACTTTAGTAAAATGGTAAAAAGACCATGTAAATGGTTAACAAAAAATGAAAATGTAAAGAAGGAAATGATGACCTTAGAATTCCAAGAGCTGCTTGAAAGATCCCAGCAAAAAACGTTGAAGTTAAAGCCAATTGGAGAAACAGATCAGGTTCTGCAGTGGGAGAAACTTCTTCTGTGATCATGGATCCTAGCACTAAGGAAGCAATAGAAACAGGTCCTACTGCAAGATCCATTGAACTTCCAAGAACAACATACACAAGAGGGGGAATAAAACTAGAGTCTGAAATGTGCACCGAAAAATAATTATAAGAACAGCAATAGTCAGCATGGTTCTGATCTGTGAACTAAAATAACCATAGGCTACACTGCAGGCAAAATCAACATACTCACAGAGTCCCAGAATCGCAGGAAGATTTGCAAGCTTAGCATAACTGATTCCCTGGATGACAATACATAATTGAAGAAGAAAAGGAAGTGGAGACAGACATTAATAATAGTCAAATTTTAAAGAAACTTAAAAAGAAATAAATTTCATTTTTTCCTTCACATTTTTTCCTGATAGAGAAGTTTCTCCAAATAAATCCTATAACTTAAAAACTTTGCAGATGGCTAACCTGAGGGATGGCCAAACTAGCAATGGTGAGACCAGAAATAAGGTCAGATTTAAAGAGTTTGAAGCTGTAACAAGGGGCCCATTCAAGCAAAGGGAACATATATTGAGCTCCAAGGATTAGTTTTCTATGAAATGGTTGTCCCTTAAATTGGCGCAGAGGATCATCAGGGAAAAAGGTCTCCTTGACCTTGGTGAAGAACTTCTGAAGGCTGCTCTTGTAGGGTGGTGAAACAACAGGGTGTACTTTGGTGCCTGAGGTTCCTTCCTCCATTATTACATCCTCGAAATCCATCTGCGTGCGGCTACTACTACGTTCCATTGACAAAAACTAAACTCTTGGAAATGATGTGATGCTGCGCATACCTTCCCTTCTGATGTGATGTGAGCAATGCTTTTAGTCTCTCCTTGGTTTACCCATTATAACACTACATAGAACAAGAACGCATTGCTAGAGGGTAAATGCTATAAATAAATGCAAATATATAGGAATGAAAAATTGGTAAGTGGAGTAATGTTACTTATGATTCTGTACTATGTTTTTGTGTAAATTCATTTGGGTGATCAAAATTCCTTTAGTGGCAGTTAGCTCACACAGTAAGCCTTTCGATGATGCTCAGGTAGAGATATCCAAAGTTTCTTTCATACATTATTTGACGGTTTGTTGAGAATTTGAATTTGTACTTGTTTTGAGTTTGAAAAAGAGTTTGAAAATGACAGATTTTTCACACCCAACCCTAAAGTTTAAACTTTTAATAATGTACCCCCTTTTTTTTGGGAGGGATACTATTTGTGTTGCATGTCCATTATCTTTTAGTCTCCATCATACTCTTAGTGAATACATAATTCATACTTACTTTAGATCATCTTTATTATCTAGTAAAAGCCTGAGTATTAAATTCAAACTAATTATAAAAATACATTATCGATTGATTTTTAAAATACGATACAAATATATATATATATATATATATATATATATGCAAATTAAATAAAAATGAAAAATAAAAGAAATAATAGTAAAAGAATATATATACAACCGTTAGAATCAAAATACTGAAATGAAAATATATTATATAATGTAATATATATATATATATATATATATATATATATATATGCTAATTAAATAAAAAAAATTAAAAAATATAGGAAATATCGAAGAAGAATATGAATAACTATTAGAATAAAATACTGTCCTGAAAATATATAATATAATAAAAAATAAACCAAACAAACATCACGATACAAGAATAAATAATGGTAAGATTTTTCTAAATAAAATGAGGAATATCTAGGTATAATTGGAAATACTTTTATCTAATGGTTGTGTACAAGTAAAAAGGAAAATATACAATATTTTACAAAGATTTATAAAGAAAGTCATTTAATTAATCAATTGAAAAATATTCAATATAAAAAATGAGATTTTATATAAAGAAAAATATTAATGAAATATCATTTTATAATTTTTTTTCTAAAAAACAATAAATACCGATGTTCAACAATCATATCTTAAAATATAAAAATAGAAAACAACAATTGACATAATTATCAAAATGGATGATCCAACCCAACTTATCTTAATCCTACCAAGCTAAATAAAAAAATTTAATAATCCAACCTGACCTATATTTTAAAATAGACCAAAATTTTTAGTCTAGTCTAACTCTTTGTTAGGTCAACTGACTAACAAACTAATTTTAGTCTAACTAAATTTTTTAAAAAATTAACATATTTATAAAAAAATCAATTAATTAAAAAGTATTTAAATAAAAATAAAAAATAAATATATTTTGAGAATTTAAATTTGATTAATAAAATTAATTTTTATTTAAGATATAATGATTTAATATATAAATTATAAAAGAATGCATTCATTCAATCTCAAAATAAAAATTAAAAACTTATTATTTATTTATTTATTTATTATTATTATTATTATTATTATTATTATTATTATTTAGTTTTAGTCATTTATAAATTTAAAATAGTAATTAATCTCAAAGTAAGATCTTAGAATAAATTATTATTAAAAATTTATTATAATATTCTCGTGAGTGAATCCTTATCAAATTAATTTATAATATATATATTAATAAAATAATATTACTTTATTTTAATTTTAAAAATAATTAATTCTATAAAATGGGTCATTCATAAATCTATTGACTAATCTGACCTAAGCTCATTAAATAGACTAAATCAAAATAAGTCTGATTTATTTTAGGTCATTAAAAAATAATAATAATAATTACTATTATTATTCTTATTATTATTTATATTGTACATTATTATAGGACTAATTTTTTATATTATATTCCTATCATATTTTTTATTATATAACTAACAAATAATTCCTAACAGATAAGGAGAAAAAAATGAATAAGGACGAAGGAAATGGGAGAAAAATATCATTAAAAAAAGCTATTTCTTGATGATTGTTTTACATGCTGTTAAGTGATATAGAGAGCATGTTATATGGAAATTTTGAACTAGCTCATATGAGCGTAATTCAATACTAAATTAGAATCTAAAATATTGATAAATCTTTTATCAGGAAATATGACTAATTTTGTGCTAAGTAGTCTTGGTTTGAATAAATTGAGCGATAGATCATAAAACTTTTTTATATGATTCTTTAAGAGTGATAAAATGCACGAATCAAGCTGGATTTAGCCTATACTGTATTTGGTACGTAAATAATCCATCGAGCGATCGAGGTTGGTTGCCTTGCGTACTTTAGTAGTTTGTTTAACTTGTCTCATATAATTATAGATTTTTAGGCCAACTCATATAATTGAAAAAGAAAAAGAAAAATGAAAATAATTTTTAAGACATATGTTGTAATTATCATATATGTGATATATGTGTCTTAAATTATTGAAATTTGATGTTTTCTTTTAGGTTACTTAGGTGAACTTGTTTTATTGGTTATTTAGTTATTGTGAGTTATGTGAAATAAATTTAAAGAGGTTAATAGGCTCAAATGATTAGTTCATCCTTATATTATAGTATGTATTATCATCCTCAATGTTTCTTTCATAGCAATGGGGTGGGGACGGGTTTTGTCTCCCGATCCCCGTTCCCAATTTTTTCAACCATTCTCGTCCCGTTTCCGATTCACGTCGGGTTAGAAATTAAGTCCCGTTGAATTTCGGGTTCTCGCTCCCGTCCCGTCCCCAATTTATATTATTTTTAAAAAGAATTACATTTATAATAAATTAATTTTACTATCTATTTTTTATATATAAATAAATATTTATAATTTTATAATTATTATTAATTAAATATACATTTTAATTTATTATATTTATATTAAAATATGTATGTAAAAGAAATATTTAATCATTTTTTATTTATAACATTATTATTATTATAACATTGTATTTAAATATTTGAATATTTATAACATTATTATTATAATACTGTATTCAAACATTTGATTATATATATAAGTTAATTCATTTTTAAGTTGTCATTTAAAAATATGAAATATATAGTTTATAAGGAAATGTTTAATAAGTTAATTCTTATTCAATTAGTTCGAAATAATAAAAGTTTAAATTATCAATTCTTTTAATCCTTTAAAATACAATTATTTTATTAAGATAAAATTTGATATATGATAAATAAGAATAATAATATAAAAAAATATGACATAATAAAACCTAATAAATATAAATTATAAATAAAATAATATTAGTTACTACTAATATTTATGTAAAATATTCAGAAAAAGATAAAGAATAAAAAAAATTAACTTTGTGTTCATCAAATTGGTTGAAAAGATTGAAAAAAGAAACAAATTGATGGGAGAGATTAAGGAAATGTGAAAAACTGAAAGGTAAGAGAAATAATAATGTAATAAAATAATTGATATAAAAGATTAAAAAAGACAAAAAAATTAAAAAGTGGGTAGAAAAAAAATTTGGTGAAATATAAAAAAATGACCTTATATGTAATAGAAAAAGAAAATGAAATACTTTTAAAATATTAATATTTTAAAATTTAAATTTAAATATAAAGTCGAGGCGGAGACGGGGTCTGGGTCGGGATTGCATTACCCATCCCCGCCCCTACTTTTTAAAACGGGAAAACCCGAACCCGCCCCGCCCGCCTCCGGTCAACTCGAGTTTTCCCTGTCAAACTCGGGCGGGATGAGTCTGGTCCCCACAGGTACGAGTTTAATTGTCATCCCTACTTTCTACGTCCTAATAATTTCTTCCTGAACTGTGATAACATATGTGAAATATAAAAATATCCTTGTGTTTTTCTATTTATGAAACCCTACTTTGAGGTTATAGTTTTTCTCTTTTGTGTTTCACCTTCATATCAGCACCTACACTTCCATTCTCTAGATTGTGTTTTGAAAAATGTATTTCAGATTTAATAATTTAGAATACTGTAATTGCAAATCAAATATGATTTTTTCAAAAGATTTTTTTATATATAATATTACGTTTTTTTTATTATTATATATTATAAAAATATTACACAGTGCAAAAACTTCGTAGTGAAGTTTTCTCTGCACTGCCAAAAATTCTTTATATATATTCGAAGGGGGAATGAATGACAGCAACAAGTGATTCTCCCTCCCATCCTTCTTCTTCTTTCATCTAAATTTCAAGCAACGATACTCTACTAGTGCAGGATCTGGTGAAATTGGAGAGAGCTTGAATTAAGTGAGAAAGCTTTAGTAGAAATACCACACCAGGTAAGGGGAAGTTTAATTCATTAAATATATGAGACTGAATTACTGGGTACTCTGTGAATAAGGAATAAGAGTGAAAATTTGAATATTTGAACAACTAATTTTGAAAATTTCTTCATGTTTTGCAAAACTTGAATTTTTGTTGAAATTCTTGAAATTAAGAATGAATTATATGACAAAATTGTTGTTTTCAACTTAAATTGGACATAATTCATATTTAATTTGGATCTGAAACTAGTTTGGGTGTTTGAAACTTGGAAATTTGAAACCTAGAGGTTGGACATGGCGTACTAGGAATCGGAGGTTGAAGATGAGGGAAAATTGAGAATTTTTAAAAGACCAAGGGTAAAATAGTCATTTTACATCCTAGGGACATAAATAGAATTTTTGAAAATGTTCAAGGGTAAAACAATCATTTTAGGGATATGAAAGGAATTTTCGAAAATGTCCAAGACTAAAATAGTCATTTTCGAGATATGGAAGGAATTTTCGAAAATGTACAAGGGTAAAACGGTCATTTAGGGATATACATGGAATTTTAAGAACAAATTAAGGGCAAAATAGTAATTTAATGATTTTGGGATGAAAAAGGAATAATAGAAAATGTTTAAAGGTATAATTGGAATTTTAGAAATAAAGTAAAGGTATGTTAGAAAAAATTATTAAAATATAGAATGAAATTAGAAATTTTAAAGAATCAGCAATGTGTTGTGATGTGTGTGGGTCAGACTGAGTCCGAGGACTGATGCCCAGAATCAGTCATGAGATGTTATGTATTGGCTAGATTGAGTCAGAGGGTTGGTACCCAGAATCAGTCAAGTATTATTATTTATTGACCCGAATGAGTCGTGAGGACAGGTGGTCCAGAATTCGACAGATGTGAATGACTGTTGTTGTGTTTGAATGGTACCTAGGGTGGTACAAAGTATATTAGTGTATTAACTATGTCGGAGGGTTCAGATGAGGTCCCAAACTTCATTGATTGGTCGGGCCAGGTAGACTACGAGATCAGGTGGTGAGAAGTCGATGGGGGATAACTGGTGACGCGCTCGAAGGGCTACTCTAGAATGAGTGATGAAGGGCATCAGTAATCTCACTCTGTGTGGAGGGTGGTCAGAATGGTACTGTGAGTGTCAACCACAATGTGCCCACAGATGAGAGCCTCTAAGTTCGGGCATAGTTAGGGTAGACTTCCGGAAGATGTCTTAGTGTATTGATGATTTATAATTGATGATAATATGTAATTATTACTTTTATATCTATTTTATTATATTGAATGATTTAATACTTACCCTTATTTTTTCATGTGGATGGGACTGTGATGATCACTTTTATGTGAGAGCAGATCAAGAGTTAAGAGGTGGAGATGCAACTACTGGACAACAGAAATAGTTCAGTGGGATAGTTTTGTGGGAGCTACTTTTGCATGTATCTATATAAATAAATTATGTTACTATGTTTTGAGGTTCCGTCAAGGAATCAAGATTTTAGTCTATATTACAATTACAGTAATATAATGTAATATAGATGTTGTTATTTACTTGTTTACTATTTTGTGAATGTATCATTATAGTAGCGATTTCTAGGGTCGTTACAATAATGGTATCAGAGCGGTAGTATCCTTGTAAATATGTGGGGATGGGTAATGACCCTATGATAAGTCCTTTGTGCTCTAATATGTGAGTGTGTGTGAATGTTTGCTCTGTATTTATGGTTGTGTTTGATATAGGATGGCACAGTGACCTCCTACTCCTACTCCGCCGAGTGTAGATGCCCTAGCTAGGGCAATGGAAATGTTGGTAGCTGCCATGCAGCAGCAGGCTACCTACCCGCAATGGAGACCAACTATGGCGTCATCCTGTGCTAGATTCCACCAGCCAGAGCAGATGGGGCTGACTGAGCTCATGAGGCATAATCCGCCTCGTTTTAGAGGAGATTTGGGTCAGATGCAGCAGAGAAGTGGTTGCGTGAAGTGAAAAAGATTTTTTAGGCTACTCTATGCCCGGAGGATAGGAAATTGACCTTCAGATAATACTTACTAGTGGATGAGGCTGAGTTCTGGTGGTCAGCGACTCAGAGGATGATGATTGCACGTGGGGATGTGTGTAATGGGGAAGCCTTCCGTGAGAGATTTCTGGAGAATTACTTCCCTGACAGTGTTAGATTTCAGATGGAGACTGAGTTCCTGAGTCTGAGACAGGGCAATATGATGGTGTATGATTACGCCGTATGATTTGAGCACTTATCTCATTTCTACACAGGTACATCTTCAGAACAATGACTTTGTAGCAAGTTTGAGGAGGGTTTGAGGGTTGAGATCAAGCTCATGGTGGTTCCTTTCTCTATCAGGAGATTCCCAGAGTTGGTGTAGAAAACAAAGACAATAGAGAGACTCTAGGAGGAAGGAGTCAGAGTGATGAGGACCCACCCAAGTGGGATCCCGAGTGGGGGTAGTAGATAAAAGAGGAGGATGCCTTATTCACGCCCCAGTCCTCCAGGAGTGGCAGCATTATTCCAGCACCTCAATCATCGGGATCTGTATCAGGGGTGAAATATTTTCACTGTGAAGGCCCTCATTACAGGAATCAGTGCCCACAGAATGTCTCCACTACTCCTTCCCAAACTTCTCAAGCCGGTCTTTGCTACACTTGTCAAAGGTCAGGACATAGGGCTAGAGACTGCCCACAGAAGCCCAGTGTTACAGTCTCAGCTGAAGCATCATCAGTACCCAGGGGGAGTGAGGCGAAATCCAAAGCTGCAGTGCGGTTGTTTGCCTTGTCAGGAGCAGAGACATCGAGGTCAGAGAATTTAGTGCAAGGTGTGTGTTTTATCTCTGATATACCTCTATGAGTTTTGTTTGATTCAGGTGCTACCCATTCTTTTATTATAATTATATGGATAAACTTAAGCTACCTATGTGTGACCTACCTTATGAATTGAGGGTATCTACCCCAGCAACTGGACTGGTGGTGTCTTCTTATGTGTGTTTGAGGTGCCCAGTTGTCGTAGAAGGACAACAGTACAAGGTGAACTTAATCGGTTTACCTTTGAAGGATTTGTATGTGATCTTAGGGATGGATTGGTTATCCATCAATCGCATTTTGATTGACTGTGAACAGAAGAGATTGGTGCATCCAGAATCAGGAGATGAACTTATTACATCAGCTCGGCAGGTTCAGAAAGAGCTACGAGAGGGAGCTCAATGTTATCTGATCCTGACTCAGATGGATGAAGTGAAGGATATTATATTGGAAGAGGTACCAGTTGTGAGCAAATTTCCTGATATGTTTCCATGAGATACCAATGTTGCCACCTCAGAGAGAGGTCAAATTTGGGATTGATCTAATTTCAGGTTCAGGCTCAATCTCTATGGCACCATACTGGATGACTCTAGTGGAATTGGTTGAATTGAAGAAACAGGTAGAGGATTTGCTGAAAAAGAAGTTCATTCGCCCGAGTGTATCTCTATGAGGCGCTCTTGTATTGCTAGTAAAGAAGAAAGATGAGAGCTCTAGATTGTGTATTGATTACCGACAACTAAACAAGGTGACTATCAAGAACAAGTACCCGTTGCCGAGGATTGATGATTTGTTAGACCTGTTATAGGGAGCATAAGTCTTTTCTAAGATTGATTTGAGATCTGGATACCATCAGATACTGGTTAAAGAAGAGGATGTACAAAAGACGATGTTCAGGTCGAGATATGGTCATTATGAGTATGTGGTCATGCCGTTTGGAGTAACAAATGCACTTGTAGTGTTCAAAGACTACATGAACAGGATCTTCCATCCTTATTTAGATAAATTTGTTGTTGTTTTTATAGACGACATTCTTATTTATTCTAGAACTCGGGAAGAACACCAAGAACATCTGAGGGCAGTGTTGGATGTGTTAAGAGAGAAACAGTTGTATATCAAGCTCTCAAAATATGAGTTTTGGTTAGATTAGGTGCAGTTTTTGGGACTTGTAATATCGACAGAAGGAATATCTATAGATCATGCCAAGGTAGATGCAGTGTTAAAATGAGAACCCCCTAAGACAGTGACGAAAGTGTATACCTTTGTGGGACTTGCCGGATATTACCAGAAATTTATAGAGGGTTTCTCTAAAGTGGTAGCTCATTTGACTCAGTTGATCCGTAAGGATCAACCTTTTGTTTGGACAAATAGATGTGAGAAGAGTTTCCAGGAGATGAAAAGAAGGTTGTTTAGTTCCCCAATGTTGATGACCCCAAATGTGACTAAATCTTTTCAAATATATTGTGATGCTTCTATTCAGGGGTTAGGTTGTATCTTGATGCAAGATAAGAGTGTGATGACATATGCATCGAGACAGCTGAGAATTCATGAGAGAAATT